CAAGTGACGACTCTGGTGGACATAGGGTCTCACTTTTCAGTAATAAGCTTACAGCTGGCCGACAGACTAAGGAAGATGAAGATGCCATGACCCAATATAGGAACTACTGCAGGTCAGTTGATGACACAGTTTGAAAGTGCAGGACCCGACTTTTAATAGCTGGTTCCACCTTTGTCGCCACCCTTGTCATTCTTCATGAGTGCTGTAAGTAGCTTATATTGGGAATGGATTTCTTCTATGAATATGGGGCCGCGATTACCATCCCCGACAAAAGCAAAATGTTTGCTACAAAGCTGGACACTGCTACTGATGAGGAACACCAGCTACCCTACTTCCGTATCATCGGTAACAACGTCATACTACTGGTACGGAGTTACTCCCTCATATCCGTGCACTGCGACTTCTTGCTAGACTGTACTTCAGGCCCACACTCTGTCGCTGAACGCATCAAGGAGCTCGCATTCACTTGTGGCATTTATATTGCTCAAGCTCTAATCAATGTTATCAATGGATGCGCTCAGCTCTTGTGGACAAATTCCAGCAGCGAATGACGACGCATTGTTAGAGGCACAGCTATTGACGATTTCGACTAGCTCACTTCAAATAGAAAATTGCCATTAAGCGGAGGAGGCGGCAGCGTCTGCTATCACTACACTGACACCTGTTGATAACAGTTCGACGTTATCTACCATTGAGCGACACCGCCTTCTCAGGCTGATCAGCAAGTTCCACGGCTGCTTCTCATCCACTTCAAGATCCGGCAAAATCCTTATCACGTTACACCAAAGAAGGGCGAGGCAATTCAAAAACAAGTGAAAATGATGCTGGAAAATGGTGTTATTCGGCTATCTAACAGTCCTTGATTGATTGATATGTGGGGTTTAACGTCCCAAAACCACCATATGATTATGAAAGATGCCGTAGTGGAGGGCTCTGGAAATTTCGACCACCTGGGGTTCTTTAACGTGGACTCAAATCTGAGAACACGGGCCTACAACATTTCCGCCTCCATCGGAAATGCAGCCGCCGCAGCCGAGATTCGAACCCGTGGCTTGCGGGTCAGCAGCCCTTGTGGTCTAGTGGCTATTGGCTATACCTTAGCCACTAGACCACCACGGCGGGGCATCTAACAGTCCTTGTGCGTTGCCCGTACTACATGTAGAAAAATTGGCTGCCGTATCTGCATGTTCGACTGCAAATGTCCTTAAAAGACGATTACTTTCTATCTAGAGACATTGAATAGAATAAAACATTTGTTTGATGTTTTGCATAAGAAAATCGGTGAATGAAATTCTGAAGGTGCGGGGCGAAGCATGAGTGCCATCTGGTGTTGATCTCAGGAAACAAAAGAATGGCCTCCGTAATAGCGAGCGCGCACAATATTCGAGGCGATATTTTGTAGATTTCAAGGTAGGTGTCAGCACCGTATCGTCGTAGCAAAGCGTTGGAAACCTGCCTTTTCGTGCAAAGCATCGCATCCTCAGCACAACGTAATAAACGCTACAGTTCTTAGAACTATTTATGTATTGCTTTTCTAGTATAAAGAAATACACTGCAGAATATTGACTTGTGGACATTGTGCCTCAAATATGCATAATATTTGCTTTTTAATCTACAATCGCACAAGTGTGAACGCAAAAACTTGGGCAATATTGGTGGGTGCTGTGTATGTGGTCGTACTTGAGCTGTGTCGGTTGACAGATAGACAGACAGACAGACCGAAATTTTTGCATTGAGATATCCCAAGGAAAACTATCATACTTAAAAGAAGGACGGCAGCTTGCGTTCCTGCGTTGACTACCGGAAGCTGAATCAGATCACAATGAAGGACATCTATCCTCTTCCACGTATTGACGATTCATTAGACTGATTACAAAACACATGCTACTTTTCGTCAATAAACTTGAAAAGTAGCTACTAGCAAATCGAAGTGGGTGAGAGAAGACCACCTTTGTCACGCCCGACACACTTTATAAATTTTAGGTACTTACTCTTGCTTTTTGTTCAGGACCAGTAACATCCCGGCGTCTGATAGACACAGTAATGTCCAGAGTTTAATTGGCAAACCTCTACTTGGTGTATCTCGACGACTTGATTGCTCTGCAGCCTTCGAGTAATACTTACAAAGAGTGGAAGCAGTTTTTGAAGCGATTTGCTTGGCCGGTTTTACATGAAAACCTTAAAAGTGCTACTTTGGCTTCCACAAACTTCAATTCCTCTGTCACTTTGTCAGCAGGCAAGGAATCCAACCCGACCCGGATAAAATCATTGCTGTGGCGAATTTGAGACAAAAAATCAGTGTGATGTTTTTTGGTACTTTGAGCCTATTACAGCCAGTTTATTGACAATTTTTCACGCATCACATGGCCATTTACACAGCTCATTAGGAGAGATATCTCCTTTCATATGGTGAAGACCAGCGGCCGACATTTCACGAGCTTCCATACACCTCCCATGCTCGCCCACTTGGATGAAGACGAGCCAACAATACTACATACAGACGCTAGTAATGTGGGTCTTGGAGTAGTGCTCGTACAGTGGCAGGGCGACAATGAAATGTTCATCGCCTATGCCAACAGGACACTGTCCTGAGCAGAAGCTAACTAAACTATGACGGAAAAAATATGTCTCGCAATGGTATGGGCAGTCCTGAAGTTTTGCCCTTATTTGTACGATTGTTCATTCACCGTTACCAGTTACCACCACTCGCTCTGTTGGTTATTTAACTAGAAAGATCCATCCGGTCGTCTTGCAAGCTGGAGTCCTCAGCTCAGAGAATTTGACTTCACTGTTGCCTACGAGTCGGGAAAACGAAACACCAATATCATTGGTCTCCTGTTGAGATGGCAGCTGATGATGACGATGACGACACAGCTATTTCGGAAATTGTGCACACTGCGGCTTTTTCTCAACAGCAGCGGGAGGACACTGAACTGCTACCGCTCATCAGTTACCTAGAAGGACGGCCGAATAGCTTGCCGAAGTTATTTGCAAGAGGGCTGGCGTCGTATTGCTTGCACAATGACGTCCTTCACAACAAGAATGTTTTCCCTGGCAGCAGCAGCTACTTGCTCGTCTTTCCTTCATCGCTTTGACGTGAGGTCATGCAAGCAAGCATGAACGACGAATCTACCGCTGGTATTGACGGCATTTCAAACATAATTGCCAACATTAAACTGTGATCATCTGCTGGTTTTGATGAAGTTACTTCAAAGTTTTTGAAGAACAACAAATTCATTTTTGCTGCATATCTAACGCTGTTGTTTTTCCAGTCACTGTCATCTGGAAACCTACCAAAGGAGTTCAAAATGGCCAAAGTCGTTTCAGTCTACAAATCAGGCAGCAAGAGTTCGCCCCTAAACTATTGCCTTGTAAGATGATGAAGCATGTCATATACACTCGTATAATTAGCTTCCTTGATTCTAACAATTAGCTGCTTTTCTCCATGACCTGCAGCTAAATCCAGATGCTAACATTCAAGTTGATGCAACTTTTCTTGATATTGTGAAAGCATCAACGCTTACCACTAAAACTCTCCCGACTAAATCTACAACCCACTCAGCAGTTCCTCACTAACCGCCTGCGCGTCCATAACAACTCTGAGCCTCTTTCAGCAGGATTCCTCAGGGTTCGGTATGAGGCCCCCTGCTTTTTCTAATATATATTAATGACCTAACATTGCATGTTACTAGCAAAATCCACATGCTTGCTGATGATCGCATTATTTATTGTTCTGGTGTTAAAATTACTGACTAATACAACACTAAAGTGGTGCCAATGCTGGTTAATGGTTTTAAATACTGGTAAATGTAAAACAGTGTCATTTTCTCGCAGTTACAACAAGTTAAAATTTGAATATCAAATAGCAAATCAGCTACTAGAGATTGTATGCCAATATACATACCTACGTGTGACGATATCAAATAATCTCGACTGGCGTGCGCATGTGACCAACCTTATTGCATCATTCAACAAAACATTTGGGTTTTTATGACGTTACGAGCGCTCCACAGAGTGTCAAATTACTAGCTCACAAAACACTAATACAGCCCAAACTAGAGTACGCATCAGCTATTTGGTATCTTCACCAGATATTCCTCACAAACGTCTTGGAGGCATTTCAGAATGGTGCCATTAGTTTCATTCATTCCGCCTCTTCATACAACGTTAACAATTCGACTGTTTGCCGATGACTGTATAATTTATAGACAGATCACATGCACTGGTGACGTAGCTATTTTGCAAAGCGATCTAAATACCCTGGCTAAATGGTGCCACACGTGGAAAATGGAAATTAATACAGATAAAACAAAGGTCAAGTCATTTTCTTCGAATCCAAATACTCCATTAAATCGATACATGTTATGCAGTTTGGCTATTAAACGAACCTTTTCTTTCAAGTATCTTGGCGTGATATTTACTCCTGATTTAAACTGGGCCATGCATATTGAACACGTAACAAACAAGGCACTAAAAATACTTGGCTTTCTTAAGCGCCGTTTATATCTCGCAAACCATGAAACTAGACTTCGCGCTTACACTTCCCTCATCCGTGCAACCCTCGATTATGCTTCAATTATTTGGAACCCTCACACAGGTATACTGTCCGACTGTATTGAATCTATTCAAAACAAGGCTGCCCGCTTCAATTTGCACTCGTACTCGCCATACCAAAGTGTCTCAGCATTAAAACAGATTCTTAATCTTCCAGAACTTAGCACTCGTCATAAATTCTTCCGCTTGACCTTTTTTCACTCTCTGTATCATGGTATTACATCTTTTTCATGCGCTCATATTTTTCCGGCCCATTATGTGTCCAATCGTACTGACCATGCTCGTAAAGTGTCGTCCATATTTGCAAGGACCAAAAAGTACCAAAGTTCCCCTTTTGTGTTGTCTGTAACCGAGTGGAACGAGCTTCCCAGCGAGATTGTGATGATTCCAATCAGTGCTGCGTACATTTCTTGATGTGTAATATGTCTACTGCTACTATATCTTACCCTGTTGTTATATCTTGTGTACCAGCAAAACGATGAAGAACTAGTGCCATGCGGATTCCTGGAATTGAAATGTACTGGAGATGTGAAATGAGCCATGTGTTACATCCTTGTCGTAAAATGTACCTTTTACCTAGTTATGTCTGATCGCTGTGTGCGGTCCTTTTATATGAATTGACGTATACCTTGTTTTTAACATATTCCCCCCCCCCCCTATGTAATGCCTCTTGAGGCCTTTAGGGTATTCAAAAAAAAATATATATATCTGCGTAACATTTTTGAAAGCAGAATCTGGCTTGCGAACACTTTTCAATCGGTGTCTCATTGCTAGTTTATCATTATTTCACTAGGTTCTACCACAGTGCGTTAAATCAAGCACCATATATTTTGCCACCATCACGCATATCTTATCGCACTGGTCAATGCTTAAACGTTGCCCGTCCTCACGCTCGCACAGTCACCTTCGCGTCTTCTTTTTTTTCTCGAGCAGCCAACGACTAGAACGACCTTGTACAAGACATCATGAACTCAAGCCCTACTGCTTTCACTGAAGAGATCACATCAGAATATACCATGTAATAAAGTGTTAAACCTGTTCGATATATTGTAACACACCCTTTATGTATTACCCCCTAGTGGAGTCATTAAGGAATAAAAGTGAAAATGAAATGAAAGCTGGTATCTTGGACGAGAATTGCCCAAGTTACCAACTTATTGCCCAAGTTACATTCATTAGCAAGAATTAGTCAGCCTACTGGTGGCTGCTACTTGCCGGGGTTGTCAAAACTTACGTGCAGGCATGTCTAGATTTCCAGTGCCGCAAGCCACCATCCATCAAAGCAGCCGGCTTGTTGCAGCCTGCCCGAGTGCCGACGACACCACTTGCACAAATCGGCGTGAATTTTTTGGGCCCCTTCCCAACGTCAAACGCCGGACACAAGTGAATAATCGTTGCTACAGTTTACAACCCCGATACATGGAGATGGGCGCTCTGCCAAAGGCAACGGCAGCTGAAGCAGCGCGATTTTTATTGAAGCCATCGTTTTAAGATACGGTGCTTCCACAGTAGTGATCACTGACAGAGGTATGGCGTTCAAGGCTGAGCTTTTGGACACTGTTTTTCGATTAGGTGGTACAGCTCACAGGAAGACAATGGCGTATCATCCCCAGACCTATGGGCTGACCGAGTGTCTTAACGAGACCGTAGCTGACATGACAAGCATGTATGTAGATGTAGAGCACAAGAACGGGAACAACATCCTGCCCTACGTCATATTGACATACAACACAACTAATCAGGAGACCACTTGGAAGAAGCCCTTTAATTTTGTTTACAGACATAAAGCTACGTTAGAAGCGATGCTCCCTCACTGAAATGATGGCAATGAGATGATCACTGAAAAGTTTACTCAGTGAGCACAAGAAGCCACACAACTTGCTTTGTTGCGAATTACTAAACAACAAGACGACGATGCCAAACATTACAAACTCCGGCACAGACCCATCATATACAACGTGGGCGACAGAGTGTGGGCCTGGACGCCTATTCGTCAGCATGGGCTCTCCGGAAAGCTGTTACGAAGGTACTTTGAATCCTACACGGTTCTGCAATTCATCCGGGGCGTCAACTAAGGGTTGTTCTCAGACAGCCCTCGGTGTTCGAAGTGCCGAGAACATTCACTAAAAATTATCCACGTGCTTCTGATGAAACCATACTTTCGGCGACTAACTGTGCAGTTTTCGTTTTACCTTGCTTCCAATACATTTAACATAGGTGTTTGTTTTCTTTAAGAGAGAATAATGCCGCGCGTATGTGCCACTGGCAGCGACAACGAAGCAGTGCATGTGTTCTTGGCCGAGCGCAGAGACAAAGAAGACGTTCTGTCTTTTTAATCGTCTTTTTAAACGTCATTGGTTGTGGTTTTCTGTGTGCTTGTCGATCCCTATCATCGCATTATTAATGAGAACTGATAGAAAATCATACCAATTAAATTATAGGGGATGTTATTAGCAGTAAATGTAATTTATTATGAAGAAAGAAAAGTGGATTAAAAGATAATTTTCCATGAGCAGGGACTAAACCTGCGACCTTCGAATAATGCGTCCGAAGCTCTACTTACTGAGCTACCACGACGGCTATCCCCCCGTCCACTCTATATGTATATGCATTTAAATGTCAGAGCGTTAGTCAGCGCTGCCAGTAGCCATTAAGGCGAGTGCCGAACAGGCATTATTTGCCTGTTGGCATCACGTAACACATAATCTTATTATGAGCTGCCAGCTGAACAATAGCACCAGTAGGCATTAGGACCGTTCGTTCACATTAATACATTTACTCGCAACACATTGTACACATGCCTGAAGAGTGAGTGTGAGCATGAATGACCTATGAGCACTGTCATTCACATGGTGACCTTTAGTAGCGACAGTGAGTAGCACCAAATTTCATGAGTCATGCAAAATTCTACTAAAAATGTTGTAAAATAGCTCACCTGGGTGCTCTTTTTGGTAACCTTTCTGCCATTAAGACGTATGCTGCCATTGTAGAAGCTTTCAGCAACTTTCCTGCAAACAAGATCAGTCTCCACATCACATCTGGCAACAAAATGTAATGCGCATGACACTGTGGGATCTCACCACACCTCAAATATGTTACAACGTGCGGGAACCATGAGACAATAACGTTGCACTGCACGCAAGCACTTCCCATACTCTGTGTTTCAAATCCGAAGTGTGTATGAGCAGCACTCTTGTTTAGTAGTAATATTAAAGCGCAGAAGGCACAACCAAGTCAGGAAACATTTTCAGGTAATGAAAAAATGGCTGCTAGCAAAGCATACTTGTTGCAAGTGCAAATTTACTAACACCGTTCCCCACCCCTCTACACAGCAGCATGCCAGCACATAAAAATGGCTGCTAGCAAAGCATACTTGTTGCAAGTGCAAATTTACTAACACCGTTCCCCACCCCTCTACACAGCAGCATGCCAGCACATGTGTACAGTCTAGTGAAAATGCCTTTTCTAGTTAAAAAATCCTCTCTTCATTTAGGCCTAGTTGGAACATTGGGTGTTTTTTGTTTGTTTAAAGTTGAAGTTTATTCAGTATTGAAAACATACACTGAATATAGACATTTAATACAGAAAAAGGTCCCATAGTGTAAGCGCACTGTAGGGGAACCTTATTATAATGGCAAAAAAGGAAACACGACTTAACAGCAAAATGGATGCAGCACAATATTCATAACACAGAATAAAAAAAAATGTGAACAATGGAGATTCTAAGAGTTGTACAATGTAAAACAAAAAATATCAGGAGAAGGAACTGCACTATAATAAAAAGCAGACACTAATGACAGCGACAAAATTATAGTTGTGTTGGAAGAACATTCAATAAAGGATGCTATTCAATAAACATGAATTTCGAAGCTGATGTTTGAATGACGAAACAGAAAATGCACACTTAATATTACATGGCAAAGAATTCCAGAGTTTGATTTTTTAAAAAACTAGACTTTAAAAACCATAGTTCGTTCACACCTTGGAAAGTAAAAAGTTTGAGAAAAAAAGGGTAATGTTTCAATTAGAGAATTCTTGGATGAGAACAAATTTTAGAAGGCTTTATTAGCTTAAGATCACTTATTAGCTTTACGTATTTTAACCTGATGATTCTGTCTTTCAGAAACATCATAGCTGGGTGGCTGAAAATAAACTGCCTGCCTATTTCTGTTTTGGAATGGTAAGCGCTATGGATAAATTTTAACCTGACGTTATGATGACGATGTTCAAAAAGAGGCATTTAAAATTTTTTTTAGCTTTCTGTCATACTAACCATTTCTTCATAATAGCCAATTGCAAACTGGATTGCTCTTTTTCAAGTTTACCAATGAGTTCCCTTGTATAAGGGTCACAGCAGACGCATGCACAGTCCAGTGTACTGCGCACATGTGTAAAATAAAACTCTTCTCCGAGTTTCCGTGGGGAACTACTGTAGCTACGTTTTAGAAAAACTAAGCGCTCCTCCTATAGCCTTGTTCCAAACATGGGTGTACTGTCTGTTCCACCTCAGTACAGCAGTGAGAAATACACCTATATATTTATATTCCGCGATTTCTCAAAGACTGGCATTATTCACTGTGCAACGAATGGTGCAGTGTGAGTGCTTCCTGATACGTGTCACACGGACACTTTTATTACATTGAATGAAATTTTCAATTTGTCACACCATGTGGCAATCACATTGTTTTTTAATGCTTCTTTGTCCAAATCGCTATTGATGACCGATATACCACACCATTTAGAATCATTTTGATTCTAAATGCTGACCATCATTTAGAATGTCTGAAAACATTCTAAATGATGACATGATATGCTAAGTGATGTCCTTAATAGATAACAAAATCAAAAGGAGACTTAAAACTGACACTGTAGTAGACCAGAGGTCACAGAAACATACTTAGAGGAGCAACCATTCAAAGACACACACATCTATCTTGAGCGAAGATACATCCACTCAATAACCTTGCATCTAATTTGTAGTGTCGCAGTTTAGTGACCAGGAGACTACGCGTAGCGTCAAAGGCTTTTCTAAAACCCAGAAATATACCGTCAACAATTTGCTTCTTATCAACTGCTAAGGCAAGCTCATGAATGAATTCTGCCAGTAGTGTCGAAAAACCCATGCTGGCTTGGGGGAAGAAGGTGAGACATGATGCTGCTTTAAATCACGTGTTCCATAACTTAACATACAACAATATTTACAGGAACTAACCTATAATTTTCAACTCTGTCCACTTGTATTAATCCGCACCGTATGCACTGCTTTTCAGTCACCAGGAACAATGATATCGTTTAAGAAACAAGTAAGAACATAAGTCACCTGAGCAGTTTGTAAGAAGTGATCCAGAGATCATCCAGACCACTGGCTTTCGTGAGTTTCACAACTTGCTTTAGTTTCTTGACTCCCTCATACAGCCCGATGCATTTAGTCGACCTGGACGCAATCTACAGTAGTATTTGTAAGATTAAACTGAAGAAAAATATTTTTTTAAATTTTCACCCTATCTTGGGTCATCATTAAATATCCCATCAGAGAGTGCAAGGGTAGAATGGAAGTGTAATCCCAACTGCCTTTCTTAACGCATTTCCTAATTAGGATCGTTCACCAACTTTTGGCCCAAGTTAGCGAAGTAGGTGTGCTTGGATGATTTGGTGGGCTCTCTAAAGCTAAGTTTCAATTTAACTAGCTGCATGTAGCGACTACCCGATTTTTGTTCTGCTGAGCTGAAAGATTCTTCCCATTTTCCATAACAGCGAACGTAGTTGTCTGTCACGCCATGGTTTACTTTTTGCACTTTTGAAAGAAAGTGTTTTAGAAAGGGAACAAATCGATTTCACGGGTCATTCCAAGTGAAACGTCCCGGCTCACAACTCGACTACCGGTGATTCTATTGAAAAAAATTGAGCTGCAAGGCCACTGTGTGAGAGTGATTTTTGTACAGTATTTTTAAATAAAGAAATTCTGTGGTCATGTGACTACAGCTTGAATGTTGCGGCAAAAAGAAAAGGTTGGGTGGCAATTATTTATTCGCATTTGACTTTTAAAACTGGATAGAATTGTGACTTGTGTTTTAAGCATTCTACTGTCATTCTTCTTTAATGTGACGTCACAACTATAATGCAGGGGTGAAACAGGGTACACAAGTTTGGGAGCAGTCTTGGGAGCAGGCAAAAGTGCTTTTTGTAAGAGCAGCCAGGAGCACCTTTTCGAGCAAGTTTAGAGCAGTAAGAACATTCAGAGCAGATTTAGCCCCGTTCAAAGCACTTGTCAACCTGCATTTTTTAAACAATAAGCTAAATCGTGCAACAGCTTCATTTTTGCAAAATTATATGGACAGTCCCGATGGGTTTTTGTCGTTGTCGTCATGTCCTATTTAAATTCCAAATTGATAATGTATTCCCGCGCATCGTATATTCCGTCCGCAAGTAAAAGCGAGCGAGTTGGAGCAATGAACATGGCTAAAGCAGAGGTCAAACGATCCGGGCCATACCCGCCGCTCAGAGAGGGCGCGTGCGACATCATCTGACGCCCCCACCCGGGAGGCCTGTAGTTGATGCAGGGAGGAAACATTCCGCCCGTCTTGGATGAGAATTTAAAAAAAACGAGTGAGCGGAGGGGGGGTGGCAGGTGTCGCTCGAGAAAACTATGAACTTTGCTTCTAGGGGCGTAGTCGTGATCGCTGGTGCGCACACTAGCTCGGCAGGCTGGCATACACTTCTACGTGCTGCACTCTCATCACGAATGTGCAAGAAGTGTTGCTCTCTGACGCGAAGGTCGCTGGTTCGATCCCCGCGGTAGCGGTCGCATTTCGTAGAAGGCGAAACGGTTGACGCCCTGTGGTAGTATTGAAGTGGTAGTATTCTCGTACACCATCATTATGCACAGTTACGCGAGATTGGATCCAAATAAATTAGCTGCCAGTCTCACTTCGTATAACCTTACAATTTGCTGCTATCGCTCTTTACTCCATACTTACAGTGCAAATGCGACACCTTTAGTTATGTACAGCTGCTCATGTTTACTTTTTTGTTTGTTTTTTACTTGAACACGCCAACGTCAGCTGAGTCGATAAGCGCGAAGCACAGTGGCCAAATAAACGAGAATACGCGCCTACGCTCGGCAAGCACTCACGTGCACGGTGCACTTGTTCTTGCTAGGCTGTTTCGGGAAACGGACACCACCCCCTTCTTTTGAGCACCATTTCTGTCACCCTTGATTTTTTTTTTTTCCGAATGCTGCCATCACATTATAAAAAAAACAGTTTCACCGGTATTGCGAAGCTACGAATCCGATTGCACCAAATTGTATGGCTGGCAGCCAAGTACTCTCTTGGGTCTGATATCGCATAACTTTACAGTATGGGTAGAGATGCTCTTCTAGTCGTCTTTTCGCATTGGGAGCGAAGCACGTGAAAGGGTTCACGAGCTATTCGCGCTGATGCTTGTTGTGACTGCATGCACATAGCGATCGCGATCACAGCCTTTATAAAACCAATACTAATAGAGTTTCGACCAAACCAAAAAGACTGTTGCAGCCACATTTCCAGCCACGGCATTTGATGGCTTTTGCATTTCGCGGCTGATCGAATTCTGGTGCTGCGGAGCAGTACGGCGCTGATAGGCAAGTTTGGCGCAGCCGGGCAGTTTGGTGCAGGATGGCACAAGATGGTACAGGTAAGCGAGTTTGGTGTTCAATGGCGCAAATGGCACAGCTGTTCCACCCCTTACTATAATGATATATACAACGTATCTAGCTGAAATAGGCTTAGCGAACTTGCAAGAAAATACGCCAATTCAGACATTTTTTTTTTTTTTAAAATGGCGACATTCTTCAAGCCACGAAAATTTTTTAGGGCCTTTAGCAGTTGACATACTATCTGGTTAAGATATCTTCAACCTATTTAAATAACTTTTAAATAACTTTTTCTTGAGAAACATGTTTGCAAAGTTTACAAAAAATGACTGTGTGATGTTCAGTCAAATTAAGCATCAAGGCCATTGTCAAGGC